ACGGGAGACATACCTCAGACCCACTTGTTTGGGTTCCGTCTTGCCTAATATCAACTGGTGCAAAGCATGGTAAATCTTGCCGATTCTGTCAATGTCGCCACACTCCGAAGCCTTAAGTTGCTTCAACTCCTCAACCCAAATCTCGATCGTGCAATTGCCGATACCAACTGTCTCTTGGAACAAACTTGAGTATATGGACTTCATCGTGCTCGGCGCGCCTAGGAAGGGTTGATAGAGGCGATTCAGTACGTGCTTGGTGGCCATGCTTTGCGGCGCGTCCCATACACAGACCCCTGGCAGAACCCATTCGCAATCTCCCTTAGCTAGTGGTATGTGAATGAATTCGTTCTTGTTGAACAAGTTCCTAAGGGCGTCAGCACACAACATCTAGCTCAAGGTTAATATCCTCACATACCGTACGGTCTGCACTGCCGTGCCCCGGTTATCGCTTTCTGCGCATTGTATTTGGATATGTTGATACAACTTGAATAGCTTAGCAAGGCTTTCACGAGTCCAGTGGTATGACGATTCCAAGGATTCTTGTATAAAGAAATGGAGAATATCGAGAGCAAAGTCGAGGTCGTTTCCAGGGCAGCCGAAATTGAGATCCGAAAGCAAACCTTTCCACCGCTGCGGTATCTCATCATGAGTTTCGTTGCCATTGAGCCAAAGCCATGGGAAGAAGTCGACATCGTTAAGGAAACGGGACACCTTTTTCTGCAGCCTTTGTACAGGAAAGTAAACTACAGCCAGAGGGGCCGTGGCGTAGGGTATTTTGTGTCGGCAAAGTACCTCAACTTCACGGAGACGTTTAATGGTCTCGGCTGAAATGGCGCCCTTAGCTTGTGCTTGATACCATTGAAGTAAGCATTCCATGAACTTGTCTGGTCTGAAAATCCGTATATACTCTGCGTCATTCTTCAAAATCGGAAGAGAAGATGTTCTTGGTGCGTTGAAGTCAATGTGTGTTCTGAGGGACGCATGTTTGGTAAACCAAGTACGCCAAGAGACTTTCTGGTTTCCCGGTTTGAGCGGCTCCTCGCAGAAGTACAGATCGTGGGCGAAGACGGCATCGTGACCAGGTGCATAATCTCCCGCATTCGGGCCCGGATCAGTCTTCCGAAACACTTCTTGCGGGCCGTTTGTATCGTTGTTCGGAAGGTAGACTATTTCAATCAAGGGCTGTCGAAGTCTCAAGTGCTGGTCGAAAACATAAAAGCAATGCAGTGGCTTTCCAGTCTTCGAGTCCAAATTCTCGGCCAGGTACAGAAATCTGAGGTGGTTGTTTGACGCTTGGAGAGTAACTCTCTCACGAGCTTCGGCATTAGCATACTGTTGCGCAATAGCCTGTTTTACAGTTTCCAACGAGGCAGATGTTACACCCAGAGATTCGAAAAGGAGGGTTCTCATCTCACTTTTCACTTCCCTGCAAAGAATATTTAACCCGACATCGACAGGAGTATCCAGCCCACTGACACACGGAAGGTAGATTGGCCCCAATGAAGCGGGCCTCCAATAACCGCTCTCAAGAGGTATGAGGTCCATGTTCTTGATCCGCGCGGTGAATAGCTTACGAGAGCGGGCTTTGGAGACAGCAAAATGAAGAATTGCCGCTGTGTGGTCGTGCCAGGCATTCGTCGTCTCTCGGGACTTCATCCGCGACGTTTCTGAATTCTTCAGATCTGCTTCTAGCCATTCAAAGAATGTCTCGAACGTAGCGTTCTGTAGCCCGTAGTTTTTCAAGGTTTCGAGCCACGTGGCGTCATAGTTTTGCGAAATGACCTCTGCTGGATCGCCGTCATCTAAAAGTAGCTCATCGTACTCGTCGAACATCCCAGGAACGGCATAAAGAAGATCGCTCAACAATCCCCGGCCAGAACCTTTATGGTCATAGAAAGCGGGCGCATTCCGCAGCTTTGATCCGATCTCGTCGACCAAAGAAAGCCAGAATGCGTCCCAAGACCCAGTCTTCTTGTCCGGCAAGTAGGAGGGCCACGTGTATCGTAGAGCCTCGTGTTCGGAAAGCTCAGTGACTGCGATAGCGAACGCCTCAGCAACGCCTTTGAGGAGACCAATATTGCGACGGGAGTCTTTGACAATGTCTTGCCGACTAGCCTCGGTGACAAAGTCGGCTTGAATGAGGAAGTTGAATCCGACTGGCCTCACTGGGAGGAAAGCAAAGACTTCTTGAGGCTCGATGATGGGTGCGGATGTCTCGGAGATCGGAAAAGCAAGGATGACTTCGGACTTCGAGTACGCTTGGGAAGCCTCCTCAGACTTTGAGTAGGTTCTGTTTTCGTTCTTTGCCAATCCCTCGACTGTATGGTGAAAGGTTCGAAAGTGCTGAACGGATTCTTCGGAAGCCTCCTTTTCGGTTTTGATCTTCTTCAGAAGCACATGGCTGGGCTCGAGCCGAGTAAGGTCATAAGTTACCGAGGACGTTTGTTCCTCGTGGTCATCGTAGAATGCAACCTGGATTTGTCGGATGTTCCTCAGAAACGGCAGCATTTTTGCTTGGAGCTTTTCGAATTGAGACCTAATCGACGCGCGTGTCTTGGCCAATTCATATTGGTCTCCAGCATCGTGGAGATGGAGGGTGATTTTCGTCAATGGCGATTCAAGTTCCTCACTCGTCTCCTCCCATATAGGTGAAATCATGCCCATCCCCGAGTCACCAGGTTTGTGTCCGAAAGAGAACGAGAATGAACCCGACTGGATGTGCACTTTATGGGCAACCATGAAGACAGATTTGAAGCCAATGCCCTTCTCTCCGATGTAGCCCTGGGCACCAGTTTTGGAGCTCTGCCCAACGGCGCAGATGGCTTCGAGATTCTCTTGAGTGAACCCATCCTCGTTGCATTCGACCACGATCTTGCGGGGAAAGACCCGGAAAGACACGAATGGCTTGGAGCCCAAGCTCGAGGCCTTGGCGTATTTGTTGTCATCGGCATTCTGGAGGAGCTCGAAAACGAAGCGGGCCTTGCTGGAGTACAGATTCTTTGCGAGTCTGGCCATTGGCGGTTAGTATGTGGCCCCAAGGTCCAATGTCACTCAGAAACGTACGTGATGACGCTGGATCCGATCATCAGATCCTTCGAAAATAATGCTTGCTCAATCTCAAGGCGCAAGTCAGGGTGAATTTGTCGCAATTTGTCTTTGGCCACATGGCCATGTTGTGTGGCAATGCTCTCAACCGCCTCTCTCGCGACTTTGACACTATCTGGAGTAGCCATCGCGTAAAGGACGGGCCAAACCGCTTCTTGAGCCGAATGAAGGCAGACCGAGGAGGGGAAGTGCGATACAGGTCCAAAACAGGTTGAATACTTCAGAGGAGATCAAGGGGTTTTAAATGTGAAGGAAAGCACCTACAGCTCAAGTAGCGAAGCTTCCTGCGTACAGTCTACCCCTCATCGACAGGTTTCTGAAAAAGACTGGAGGCTATCCAATGGAAATTTTTGCGTGTACTCCTTAAGCTTCCCCGCTGAGGTTCGCGCTTCAGATAGTTTGAGTTGGACAAGCGGCCTTGGGCAAATTATCACCTTGCATATGCGGGAGGCCAACAACCGCATCAACCAACCCGACAGGCATACAGCGCCACTAGGAAGAATCGGATGCGCTCTGATTTGATCTCTCCCTCGATTGTCTCAGTTTCGCACATGCAAAAGCACACCTTTTCAGTCCTATCGATGAACGCGATGAAACATGAGTTCAGCGTCACTATGAAGGATCGGTTACCGCTCCAGCCTCCACCGGGTCATACAGCCCGACCCGATACGCAACATCTAGAGACTCAATACTGTAACCTTTAGCTTATCGAAGTTTTTCTCTCAGGTATATAGGCGTAGACATTATCAAAAGGGGAAGAGACATCATGAGTAGTAAAGCACCTGCACGATGAATCAGGTAGGTTGGCATAGTAGTCATGCGAGGATAACGAGGTGTTTTTAAGGACTCTGATATAAGCACCAAAAGACCACTACTGTTCCAGGGAAACCAACCGTGAATTTGACCCAGGAGCTGGTTAAAAGTCGATGCCCATGATATATGGGCAGCACGATGCTTTAGCTTGGCGGTCGTCAATCTCCTAAATCAACAAAGTGTTCTTAGCCTTCAACGAGATCTACCCAGCAACACCATCCCTAATTACCAGTTGCATATTCACAGACAAATACCACCCAACAGTAGAATAAGATCTTAGAAGCTTGAATCACTGCCCTAATCAACCCGAATCTGCCCCTCAAGTCTGCTATTCCCAACGAGGACAAACGCACGCAAGCCCCCGACGAAGGTGGGCTGTCTTCGTCTCCAGATTCTCATCTGTGAGTCCCTGTAAGGGTCGCTGTAGGTGTTGCCTTGACATGATCTTCGCACAAGCCGCCATCGATCCTTTAAACAGGGGATTCCACAATACAATTCCTGTCAGTCAAGCAGATTCATGACTGTTAGCGACCGGGGTTCCGTGACCTTGGACCATTACCAGGAGCATTGAATGGGCAGGTAGAGGTGTCAACCCAGATTGGACAGCAATATCTGCTTGAAGCTCAGTTTCTAGAGTACCCCTTCCCCGGATTTCGGTCTTACCAAGTCTGTAATCCAGCCGACGCCGCAACGTCTCAAATGATGGACATTCAAGCGACCTCAAAGGGGAAACTTGACTCTTGATACCCACTCTCCAGTGAGACCGTTGAGAAAACCGCCGCCTCCTTCGAGAACTAGCACGCCAAGACGTTGAAATAAAAAAACAAAGTGTCTCGGTCCATCCCTTCGGACAATGGCAACCTTATGTCTCACAATCTCGCAAATTTTCCTTCCCGTATCATAATCTCCAGTGTCTAGTACAACCAACCACAGAGTAAACCTCGTGGCTGGCGTGGCGTTCGATTTCGAAGTCAGCTCCAATGATACCTTTAATACTTTCGGCATGTCACATAGAGAACCTAAGGCGCACTAGATAAAGTTATCGCCAGGTCTTTTACCGGCCTTCTTGGCTTGAATTTGCTATGAAACAAATCGGCTTCGCCACTGCTTGGGCTTTGGACCCGTCTCGTCTTCCTCCCACTGTCTCGTTCTTCTGTGCTCTGCTCCAAAAATTCGGGCAAGAGTCAACAAACGTTTCCCAAACCAAACCTAAGCGCGGCCATGAAAGACATTGTTCATTCGGCCCGCCCCTTTATGTTCCGTTGTTTATATGTAAAGTGCTTTGGGGTATCTGTTGGTACACAAAAAACAGTGTGACAAAGGAGAGAGAACTAGAAAGAAAAAAGTAGGTATAATAAAAGCAGTGTGTGTATGCGGCAGGTCCCTCGTGATGGCCCCTCTGAAGGGACAAGAGCCGATGCCACCGCCGATTGGGATGAAACCTTTTCCCTGTCTTTCTCAAAGGCCCTCCCATGGACAACAAAAGAAAACGCCGTGGTTCCGACTTATCCCAAACCTGGACTGATTCCCCCGTGCCATGCAAGAAAAGTAAAATGTTTTGTAAGGAAAATTATGTGTTCCGTGAGTGGTGATGTTGTGCGATGCCGCCGCAACGTCCAGGCCGCGACGATGAGATCCGGTCTGCTTCGTAGATTATGTTGTTGTGTTGTACTTCTTTTCGTCCGCAGGCAGCTCGATGCCGCTATCGCGGTCCTGCGGATTGCTCCAGTGGGGCGACAGACTCCTCGGGGAATCTAACGGACTGCTCGGTAATGAGGTCGTGAACTCATCCTTCTGCCCCTTCTCTGCATATTCGTTCTCTTCAAGGTATGCCGGGCGGAGCACCCGCGGTGGTAGCTCCACGTCGCTAGGGCGGACGTTGTACTCGAGGGCCTTCTTGCCTTCCTTGATAAGCTCCTCCGTCCAATTCAAGCATCTCTTGATGCTCACGTTGATCTTTTGGCTGTCGACGAGCAATTCCCGATGTTTCGAGAGATCCAATTGCAAGCGCTTCTCATCCCGAGTCCGGCGGCGCAGGTCTCGTTCCGGATCCTCCTTGGGACTTGATATTGACATGGAATCCGTCTCGGAAAGCTCTGAAGACTCAAACATGGAATCATCCATATTTTCCTCCGCCTCCTCCTCGCTGAGATCCGACAAGTCCAGTCCTTCAATGCCTAGGCCTGCAGGAGTGGAGTCGGCAGAAGTCATCCGGCTCGACCCGCCCGAAGGAGGGACGGACAGACGCCCGGACCTTGATAGCCTCTTGTACCTCCTGAGTTCTGCCGTCTGCTTCCGCAACTGCTTTTCCAGCGACCTGTTGATTGCCTCGAGAGACGCGTTGGTGATTTCAAGATCCTGAACCTTGCGCTCTCTTCTCGCGTTGAGAACCATGTCGTTTAAGGGGTCTCCGTGAGATGACTTGGTCGGGCTGTGAAGGTCTTCGAGGTCGTTATCCTCATCAGCCGAATCCTCCTCTTCCTCTTCTTCCAGATCGTCTGCTGCCTGTATTATTGACGCAATCGTGATCGGCTGTTGCGCAAAGAAACTCGGCACTGTCGGAGACGGCAATTCGGAGGGCGTCGATGTTTGTGAAGCCATGAATCTGGACATGATCATGGCATCTGTCGCTGGTGCCTCTGATCCAACCTGACTCGCCACCTGTGAGAGCGTGTCGGTACTCGTCCTACGCTTATGTGACGGCGGCGCGAGCGGCGGAGGGCTAGTCATGTGGGCACGGCCAACAGTGTGAGGCGGCATGCTATTGCTCTTGACTAATGGTGCGGACGTCAGAGGTTGGGATGGCTTGTTTGGCGATATCGGTCGCTGGGCCATAGGGAAGCCATTCGCTGAACCTGCTGATGTCCTATGCAGCTTGCTCGACGCCGAAGTGACTGAGCCCGCCATTGATGCTGCGGATGAGGGCCGGAAACCAGGCTGTAGATTCGGAGCTCCATTGGCGTAGAAGAACTTGCTCGATGGTGGCTCCGGCGCCGGCGTAAGTTGCGGAGAGAGGGACGGTGCAAGCGACGGCGCCAGGACAGGCGTGAAACCAATACCAGGTGACGTAGGCCTGTTCTTTTCGACAGCACCGCCGTTGGCGTACATGAAAGTCGAACTTCGCTGCTGAGGAGCTAGAGGTCTGGGCTGGGCTTTGAGAGGCTGAGCTTTCGGTTGGGAAGCTTGCGATGGTTTTGCCTCGCTGGCGTAGAAAAACTTGGAATCGTTTGCATCGTTCCTGCTGCTTACGCTTGAAGGCGGGCTGAAGGTGACGACCTGTCGTCTCGGAGGCTCGAGTGTCGGCTGGCGATCCCACTCGTTCCTGTCCGGGTCCGGAGTGCCATTCGGGGTTGTGTTGGTACTGCTCACACGGCTCTGGCGACTGCCGGTGCGAGGTGTGATGTTATTCGCGGCGAGGAAAGGCGCAGGGCTCGTGAGGTCGTCCCTCGCACCCCCTCCATTGATGTGCGGTTGTGTGGGGTAATTTGTGTTGTTGTTACTTGTGTTGTCGTTGCGGCGACGACCCATGGGGGTGACGACCGGGGGTGAAGGTTTCGCAGCGACTTTCGGGGTCAGAGGAGCTCGACCGATTGCCTTTGCGCTGAGGGAAGGCATCGCTGGTTGGCGAGAGGTCGTGCTGCCCCCTTTCTCGTAGGGGGGCATGGTGGGCGTTGGGGTAGCGGAAGCGGACGCTGGTGATGTGCCGATTGTGGGCGACGGGGTAGGCGAAGGCTTCGCTCGCGCGGCGTTTGCAGGTCGAGAGGGGTTCAGGACATTTTGGTCTCGTGTGCGGAGGGGTGAGCGCAAGCTGGAGGACAGGGCAGGTGGCTGTCGTCTCGAGGTTGAGGATGGCGTCGACGTTGGGGTTGTTGCGGGCTGTGGTGCTGGTGTTGTTGTCGGCGTTGAAGAAGTGGTGTTGGTGGGAGGTGAAGGTGACGATGTTGTGTTTGGGCCGGCGGTGGTGGTGGTTGTTTTGGTGGTGCTGGCACTGGTGGCAGCAGCTGTGATGCGTCGGGGCCCGTTTATCGTTGGTGGGCCAGTGGCAGCAGCGGTAAGTGGCCGTGGTGGTGGGCGTGTGGTAGTGGTAGCGGTAGCAGCAGTAGCAGCGGCGGTAGGGGTGGGCGAGCGATCGACGGCGGCGGGATTGGTGTTATTAGTCGATGTGGGATTATTTGTGGTTCGGAGCTGGGCCGCCGTGGGTTTGCGGTCGACAGCGACGGCGGCGGGCGACGATGTTGCGGAGGTTGGAGCAGCAGAGGCACCAGGGCCAGAGGAACCCGAGGGAGCAGCCGATGGACGGGATGATGTCGTTGTCGTCGTCCCAGATGGTCTGGACGAGTTGGATGATGGACGATGAGCAGATGCGGCGGGGTTGATGCGGGTGGCGGGTGAGATGGATGGCCTGATGTTTCTCCTAGTTCGGGACGAGTCGGGCATTTGCTTGCCCTGCTGAACGACGAGATGTTTTTGGTGTTGTTGGAGCTTATTGTTGCCCTGCTGCTGGGGACGCTTGGTATTGGTGGTGGTGGTGGTGGTGTGTGGGTGAGTGCCTTTCAGTGGCGGCGATGTCAATGAATCGCCGGCGTGCCTTGGTGAAGGTGAGGGAGACGGAGCCGAGGGAGCAGTCGAAAGATTGTTGTTGCTCCTCCTGCTGTTGTTGCTGGTGTCGCTGCCACCGCCGCCGCCAACGCCCACGGAGGAGAGCGCTCGCATTTTCTGAAGGGGCAGCACCTAGCCGTGGCTGCGGGTACGTACCTGCAGGTGCGGGTGTGCGGGTGCGGTTGCAGATGCTGGTGCTAAAGATGAGGAAGTACCTCCCCCAGGGAGCGCTGCGAAAAGGAGGTGGTGGTTCGGGGAAAGGTACTTGACTGTGGTGCTCGAGACATTGGACGAAAGACCTCTGTGCTGGGACGTCCCTGGCGGTGCTTGGCTTCGTCCCTGGCCGTCTGTGTCTCTCTCTCTTGGACTCTGGAGTCTCTTGGAGTCTTTCTCTCCCGGTGTCCACCCCTGACCCGGGCTGTCCCTTGGAAATTCTGGAAATAAACCTGAAGAAGGGGGGTCCCGCGCAAGGCCAATCTTGTCTGCGGTGTGTGCAGTGGGGTTGTTTTTGAGGGGGTCCCTTTTCGAAGGCAAGGTTGGGCGAGGGTTGTTGAAGAGCCTGTAATTCCGGTACGAGGCACCAATCCACGATGCGGTGTGTGTCGAATATCGCTACTGTTTCTGATCTCTTTTCTTTCGGTTTTCGTATGCTCTTTTCGTGTGTGGCCCGGGGGTGGGAGAACTCCGTCGGTCAGAGTCGCTCGGTGTGGATAGGAGAGCCAGAGAATGAGGTTGTCGTGTGCATGTGTCTGTCTCTGCCTCTCTTTCTCTCTTGGTTCGTGTATGTTGTGGGTGTGTGTCTTTGCGCCTTGTTTCGTACCAGATGATTTCAAACGAACAGACTCGATATCAAACGTCGTTGCGATTGAAACATGCGTTCGTGATCAACAGGAGTAATGCCGGATGTGAGACATGTGCCGTCAGGTGCTTAAGCCTAGAACAAGAGTAGACGCGTTCAGGTTAGAAAGAAACGCGGGAATGAAGATGAGGGGGAAGAAGGAGGCGCGAGTTGAAGAATGAATGTCATTCAAAAGGGTAAGGCAAAGAGCAGAGACAAGGAACCATATGATGCCTGTCCGGAACGAGACGATAATTACGAGAGATGCAGAAATGCAAAATGACATCGTTATTCTTCATCGTTGACACTGTCAGAAGAAGAACCCCAGCTCGGACTCGCCTCGATTTGGTATCCGTAGAACAACGGGAAACACAGGAACCACAGGAACCACGTTCACGACCACGGCCCACGCTTCTATTATTGTGCCGCGTCTTGTGTCCTTCAACCTTTGGTGCTATAGTATAGAGACTGTGTGTTGTGGTTGTTCCTGCATCCATTGACCATGCATTCGCGCTCCTCCTATCGCCATCCTTCCCCATCATTCATCTCGATTGGCATTTGTTTATTCATGCGTTGCGGCTTCAACACAACGGCATCCTGCACAAAAGACGACCATCAAACCCACCAACCCTGCCTTGTCTGCCTCGGCACCCAGTCCCTGTAGGTTGTGATCGGTGAGGATTCGAGCCACAGGCAGGGCAGGGCGTGGAGGGGCGGCCAGTAGGTTCCCCTAGTCTGCAAATGGTGAGTGGTTAGCGGGACCCGGCGGCGGTGACATGTCACCTTTCGATCTTCTTTGCTTTTTTCCCTTTTTTCCCCTCCCCTCTCTTGACTTTTGATGTGGTGTGGACCTGTGAATGGTAGTGTCTGGCTTATTTTTGTTTTGGTCGGCGTCGGGGTCCGGGTGGTTCC